TGGTATACATATACCACATTTTATTAATCCATTCTTGGATTGATGGGCACTTGGGCTGTTTCCACAGCCTTGCAATTATGAATTGTGCTGCTATAAACATTCGAGTGCAGGTGTCTTTTTTGTAGAGTGTCATTGGATCATTTGGGTAGATGCCCAGCAATGGGATTGCTGGATCAAATGGTAGATTCACTTGTATCGCTTTAAGGTATCTCCATATTGCTTTCCACAGAGGTTGAACTAGTTTGCAGTCCCACCAGCAGTGTAGGAGTGTTCCTCTCTCTCCGCAACCACGCCAGCATTTATTGTTTGGAGATTTTTTGATAAAGGCCATTCTCACTGGGGTTAAGTGATATCTTGTAGACCACTTGTGCACCTCTGGGCTCTCCAGGCTTCCCCTTCCCCACTGTGCCTCGGGAAGGGCTTGGGCACAAACAAGGAGAGCCTTGGGAATCTGGCATGATCCCAGAGTCTTGGGACAGGGATGGGAGTGGCTAGCTGCCCCAGGTGCATTTGCCTTTCGCCTGTCTCCATCTAGGCACCCAGAGTGTCCCAGCAAAAATGTTGCAATAGTCTGGGGGGGTCAACCCACAGCAGAGTGTCCCCTCTGCTGTGGGTTGGGATGACCAGCCAAGGGAAGAGGTGATGCCTGCCTTGACTTCTGGAGCATCTGTCTGGGGCTGATGGGAGGAGGAATTCAACAGCTGGCCACACACCAAATTAAGGGGGCAGAGGTATACAATATGGCAAATAAAATCCTCCATGGCAGATGGAGAGAGAGACTGCAAAAGAAAGAAAACTTTTTTTCCTGTTTTTCGATCTAGGAGATGCTCAAATTTGCATTTTGCATTTGGCTTCACATATTATGTAGCCAGCCATGACTGTAAGGGCAGATGCAGGAGCCAATCTACCAGTTAAAAGACATTTTTAAAAACCCCTCCCACTATGCTTTTTGTTAGAAGAGCTATGTGAATAGGAGGAGGGGATCCACAGTGCTCCTGGACAAGAAGTTTCTTCCCTCTTCTCCACATTGCTCCAGATACACTGGAGGCTCAGCTGCTTCTGTGCATCTGAAATGGTGAAAAGTCAGGAAACAGCTGGAGCATCAAGGAATTGAGACATGAAATCCATACCACTGTCTGTGAACTCCCTCATGATATGATAGACTTGGATTCTCGAGGCCTTCTCTAAGTGACAAAAGGATGTAATAAAAGGTAAAAAGCCACACAGGTGCTTCTAAAATTTTCTGCCTGAGCCATTCAAGAAAAATGAGGCAGAATTGAACACACAGGGTTGAGGGAGATGAGAACGCCTGTTAGGCAAGAGGTCTGGCCGTAAAAATGACTTGTCAAGTCCTCTGAATGACTTGCATAGGAATTAGATTATTCTGCTGTGAGATTCTGAGAAATACATGTAGAAGCTGGTTCTTATTAGATGGAAAAGGAAGGAACTGAAACAAACCACAAGCTACCAAGGAGACAGATGGTCAGTGAGGGTGAGATTGCAGGGCAGCCTCTTTGTATAAGCACTTAGATCCGCTCAGAGACAATAAAAGACAGAAAGCCACCTGTTTATTGCTACATCCAGCCAGGAAAGAACTAGTGCCAGACTTTAAAGCAGTGACAAGCCAGAGCCAGAACAATTGAATTGTAAAAATGGACACAATGGCCAGTGCCATATGAATAATACATCTGTTACTATTTCTGCTTTCCAAAATGTGTTTTCTGGACACACAAAATGTATATTAAGGTAAAAAGAATTCTGGAAATAGAAGCAATCTTGTCTACATTTTCTACTCCGAAGCATCCAGTCAACTAGTAAAAGAAGCATGACTGACTTCTGATTATCTGCAGATGGAGGGATCTGTGATCACAGAGAACTGAAATCTTTAATTAGTCCCACCCACCCCATTTTATCTAGAATTTGCTACATCTCTCTCTTCGCAAGCTTACTGGAGCTAGGCATGAGTTGCAAAATAAATTGACTATTTCATTCTTATTTCTTTGTCTTGATTACCTATTGTTGGTGTTCCCAGTCAGCTACAAATTAGTTGAATGATAAAGAGTGGGAGAACGAGAAACAAGGTCCTATATGATTCCAGAACTGGGTAATCAAATGATTGTTATCAAATGCTTATCAAACATAAATTCTGCTGTATAGCAGTGAAAAAATAGAAATTCAAAGATATGGTTCAGCCCTTTTGAGAATACAAACATTTGAAGGAGAAAAAAGACAGCAATGTCAAGCTATAGAAGCACTTACCAATATAACAATTTTTTGTTAAAGAAGGAGGATGATAACAAAGATCACTGAGCTTGCCATAAAAGAGACAAAAACGGATCCAGCAGAAAAAGGGGTATTGAGTAGGATGAGGAAGAGAGCAGTATAGATAATATAAACACTCAAGCCATGAAAAGTGTGTACTTCAGGCTCAAAAGAATGTCCTCTCCATAATCAGTGGAGCCATGTTCTATGCAAACAGTTACCACTTTGGTGAATCTGAGTTCATGATATTCAGAATCTAAAAATTAGTAAGAAAATACAGTGTTGAGCAAAAATTGTGAGGAAATTCATTCGTACTGAAATTTAGCCATGGCTGGTGTTCTTGGCAACTGGAAGTTTGTCTGTTAGCTTAGTACATCCCTGATAGCACTGATGGAAGTAAACTGAGATGCACTTTGGGATCCGAGTTGCAGAAGCCCAGACATATAATATAGAATGCGTGAACGGCACGATTCTCTGTGTTGTTTTGATATTTCCTTCACCCTTAACTCTCTCTATAGATGAATGAAAAAGAATATGTGTGTATGGGGGCAGTGCACACGTGTACATGAGAGGGAAGTGAAATAACTTAAATTTTAGTTTTAGTTTAAATTTATTCTATGTCTTTCATTGTCCTTATTTTCTAAACATTGATGGTTTTGCAAGAGGTCAGATTTTCCAGCTGGAGAAAGCAGAAAAATGGAGTGGATTAAGAAGTGGATTGCAGTGAATATTGCACTGTTCTTCTGGTCTCAACATTTTGAGGTTCCCTTGAAGCCTCCCTTGACCATAATTCAGCTAACTGCTGCAGTTTATCAGTATTGATAAGCCTCTCTCTCCTCATGCCATCAGGCTCTCCCACATTCATTCTACAAACGTTTATGAAGAGCCTGCTATACCGCCAGGTTCCTCATACCTTCTTATCTGTCCAAGCTGCCCAAGCCATCTGCCTTCCTGTGGTGCTGCACCCATATCCAGGTGTCTCTGAGGGCATGACATTTATTATCATTTCACTTTCTTATTCCAGATACCTTGATATTCCTAGTGTCCCAAATAAAAACCCAATTCAATGGAAATGACATTGAACTCTTAGAAAAGTTGGGTGATACTCCCAGCTCTGCCATTGACCTTGACCTCTATGCATCTCAGTTTCCTCACATGTCACCAATACAGCACCACGGAAACTGTTGCTTTCAGCAACATTTTTATCCCCATTTTACAACTGAAGAAACAAAGATCACTCTAGTTAAGTGATTTGTCCAGAGCTGCTCAACGAGTAAGTAAAAGGGCTGGAATAAGAGTATCTTTGGACTCACAGCTCATTCCACCATATCCCTGTAAAATAAGGCTGTCTGAGATGGTTCCCTTATTCGACTAACCAATAAAGTATCTACTAGCTTTATGTGGTTATTCAAATTTAAATCAGTTAAAATTAAATTAAAAATTCAGTTCCTCAGTCACGTTAACTACATTTCAAGTATTTGATAGCCCCATGTGGCTCGTGGCTGCCATACTGGCCAGTGCAAATTATAGGACGTTTCCATCAGCACAGGCTAGAATTTCTGGTTAGCACTTGGCTTCTATGATTTCCGGATTTCTCAATATGGCATTCAAGACCTTCCAGCATCTGACTCCAGCTCTCCTTTACTGTTGGGTTACTCACGACTCCCAGCCAGGCTCACTCTTTTTGTTTTTGGAGATAGAGTCTCACTCTGTTGCCTGGGCTAGAGTGCCATGGCGTCAGCCTAGCTCACAGCAACCGCAGACTCCTGGGATTAAGCAATCCTTCTGCCTCAGCCTCCCGAGTAGCTGGGACTACACTACAGGCATGCACCACCATGCCCGGCTAATTTTTTATATATATATTTTTTTAGTCCAGCTAATTTCTATTTTTAGTAGAGACAGGGTCTTGTTCTTGCTGAAGCTGGTCTCAAACTCTTGATCTCGAGTGATTACAGATGTGAGGTGCTAGGATTACAGGTATGAGTCACCACCACCCCCGCCCCAGTCAGGCTCTTTCTGTACCTGCCAGACTGTGCTCTATTTCTGTGTTGCCCGCTGTACCTAACACACGGCCTTCCACAGAGCAGACAGTAAACATTTGGATGAATGGATGGATGGACAGGTGGAAGAAAGTGAGGAAGGGATGAAAGAAGGGAGTGTGGCATATATTTAAGCTTTCATTAGACAAATACTTATTGAGTGTCTGCTGTGTGCTGAGCACTCTTCTAGGTTTCAGGGATTACTATGGCGAACAGACAAGGTCGCATGAACTGTCTGGGTGGAAGAGTGGAGAACAGATCTTAAAAAAGTTTACAAGTTAAATAAAAGTTCAGATAGTGCTAAGTGTTATAAAGAAAATAAAAGCATGCCATGCTGGGTGACTGGGAGTTGAACTAGGATAACTATAGACATGGTTGTCTCTAATGAGGTGCCATTTGAACCCAAGTTAGAATAATCCGAAGAACCAACCATATGAAGATCTGAGTGGAACATGTTCCATGAGGAACTTTGCTACTGAAATTATACTTTCGCATACTTTGTTGAGATGTCTTATTTGTCAGCTTCTGATATTTGGGCCAGTTTAAATGCCCAGTTTAATAATCTTAATAAAATTACCTTGGAGGAAGGATGAAACAAGGAAATGGGTGAAGTAATTAATTTAGAAAGATAGATTAATATGGAGTCTATTAAAGTTGAAATGGCATTTATCTTCTATGATTTCTTCTTTTGTTGTATAGCTTTGTTCCTGGATCACATAAAGCTGCCCTCAAAGAAGATACGTTACGGGAGGCAAAATTCTTTCAAGATAAAAAGTATCTTTCAAGAATAGCAAGAAGTGGCAGAGATGCTATTCAAAATTTTACCAGAAACACATCCCATACTTTTAAAAATGGAAAAAAGGTAATAACTCCCAAACAACATGGTAAAGGAAGTGCTGGAACAATTTCGCCTTAAGAAGCATGGTAAGACTCTGGACTTAACTAAATCTGCCACCAGAACTTAAGCCACAGGTTGTAGATTATCAGGTGACTTGAATCCCTTGCACTCATTGATACCAAGATATATCTTGTCCATTTATTTGACCATACCTGACAATTCCAGCACTCTGAGACTGATATGCCCAAGAACTGTTATTAGATGATGGAAGAATGAAAGAAATGTTTTGAAAAATCTAATGGAGATATAATTTGAAGGTAAATTTTATATAGTATATGCATGTGTATACATGGGCCAGTGCTAATTCTTTTGATTGTCCAGTCTATTTTCTGTAAACTAAGCCTTCTTTCTTAATTTAGAAATGTTTAATGATCATCCATTTAACCAAAGGTATTTTTAAGTGTTTGGGGCTACTCCAGAATTTAACTTAGAAATTGATGCTGTTTGTATGTCATATTTTTTAAAATTTGACCTTCCATGACTAGTCCACATAAACACATCATTGTTTCCGTGTGGACTGACTAGTCCTCAGATGGGCTTGTGCTAGGTTTCCCCCACCTTCTGCAGTTGTTTGCTAGGGCTGGTGAGAAGCAAAGGGTAACTTTCTCCAGCTTCAAATCCTTCTAAATTCACTGAGAAGCTCAGTAACTCCCCCAGAACATAAATTATTGCTTTTGAGCCTGAAGTGTTCTTTTCATTATGAAGCATCCTGGCTGGCCATTTTGATGGGACTTCTAGTCTTTCTTTCCTGTTGTGGTCATTTATTAATTTTCACTAATCCATATATTCTTTAGACAGAGAGTAAAGACACAACTTGTCATGGGTGAAGCTCTGAGTTACTTTTACTCGTCAGGTAGCTATTTAGTCAATAGTGAACAGCACCACAACAGGATTGGTGGAGCTCTAAAATGAGCCTTAAATGCAAACTGAGTTTAGAAACAGTAAGAAAATCCATGTGGGGTTGCAGAGGTGCAAGAGAGATCAGAGTAACTTAAAGTAGGAAAAGTTTTGGAAGTGCCCAGCTCTGGTAGCATTCTGTGATGGCTCTGTTTCCTCATTCCCATCCAGTTTTTCTTTTATGATGGGATTGGTATTTTCAACAACTAAATACCCAAAGTAGCATTCTTTAATTTAAATACCATGTTCAGACCTTACCTCAGTCTAAGGCTGGCTCCAGAGTTGGTAGCAGTGGCCCCAGTACACATAATATCCCTCTCTTCAGGAAGGGAAGGAAGGTCTGCTTGGAGGTGTGGGGCAGATGGTTACTGACACCAAAGACAGTAGGGTATGTTCAGATTTTTTCTATACCTCTTTTCATAAAACCTGGAAAGAAGAGCCATCTGCAGTATTTTTCTAAAACCACTTCTGCCATCCTTACTCAGGCAACTCCATAGAAATAGCTCCTAATGTCTTTAAAGGAGGAAGCAGTCCAAGGAGTTAAATTTCGTATTCATACTCAGGTAATAGAGAAGAATAAAACACATTAGGTTTCTTCATCTATCCTAAGTGGTGCTTTAGGGGTTCAGGAAAAACGTTTCAAGTACAAGAAATTGATAAGCAATATTAATAATATTTTTTTATTTCAGCATATTATGGGGGTACAAATGTTTAGGTTACGTGTGTTGTCCCCCCTCCACTCCCCCGGAATTGGAACTTCAAGCATGTCCATCCCCCAGATGGTGCGCATCGCACTCATTATGTATGTGTATACCAATCCCCTCTTCCCCCCTCCCACCTGCCCGATGCCCAATAAATGTTATTCCTATGTGTCCACTTAGGTGTTGATCAGTTAATAACAGTATTTTAATAAAAGGGATTTTTCTAGTTAACTCTGAATTAAGCACAAACTCCTTTCTTGTTTGTTGTTGGAAAAACTTTTAAGATGTATTTGTTTTTTTCTGTGTTGGTAAGTAAAGTATACCAAGCAAATATTTCTTTAGTGATTGAGATTATTTTTAGCATTTTGGTTATCTTTTTAACCACTTCAGTACCGTACTCACCGGCCGCAAAACCTTGCCCACAGCTGGCACTCATAGTCCACACAACAGTTTGTGCTGTGCATTGACAACGAATCCGTTTTGCTCTTGTGTGATGAGGAAAGCTTTTAAGCACTGAAAGCTTGATTTACTTTACAGGCAGCTTTACTTATAATGTAAATCAGAATAGGTAACATATACATATATGTTTTTATTACGTTATTTTTAAATGTTCACAATTTTATTTTTATAAATGAAAAATTAGAAAAGTCAAGTTTTGTTATTAATGCTAATGTCAATGCTTGGCTGTGCCCCTTCGTATCACAGCTGTTGGCTAAAGTTGACACTCAGTTCATCTGTGGCTATCGACTATAGTTGACACTCATGCCGAAGTGGTTAATCATGAATAGATGAGGGATCTGAAACATGGTACAAATATAAGTTCCTTTTTAAAAATAAATTCCTAATATTAGCATTTTCCATGTTTTATCTTTCTCCTAAACATGGAAAGCTGTAAAAATTAAGTTGAATGTAAATTTAATAAAGCCTGATTGATTTAACCCAAGAATCACACAAATAGTGATGCTTCTTGGTTTAAAAATGTAAATTAATTAACTATAAATGACCTGCCTCCCATAGTCTCTATACTGAGCTAGGGGCTGAACTTGAAGAAGGGGGGGGAAGTAGAGGTCAAAATGAGATATAATTTGACATGGTACCAGAGTGTAACAGTAATAATTCAATCAAAAACATTTTTTTAAAAGGTGGGAATTTTGAGGGGAGGATGGGGAGAGAGGAATGGGAAGGAAGATAAGGGGAGAAAAGGGTCATATTTCTGTCAGCCCACTCCATTTTTTCCTCAGCATTTTCCACATTTATCAGTCTTATGGCTTATCTAATGGCTCCAAGCCTGAAGCCCAATCTCAGCATAACAGTTTGTTTCAAAAAAATTTCCTCAACCCCTGCTGCAGACTCTAAATGTGACTAACTACAAACCCTGTAAATATGGTTTTAACGGACTTTAAGGGAAACAGAGGCAATAAAGATAACATGACAGTGCCAAATTTATAAATTCTAATCCACTAAACTGTCAGGCCTAGAGTTTATCACTCCTAACTTTGACCTTTCTGAATGACTAATATGTTCATAAATGACAGTTTTGTTGTTTACCTTTCTAAAAACTATAGCCATCTTCCACATCTGTGGGTCCCGTGCGATGAATTCAAATGATCCAAAGGTGGATCAGAAATATTCAGGGAAAAAAATGGATGGTTGCTTCTGTACTAAATATGTACAGACTTGTTTTTCTTGTCATTCCCCAAGCAATACTGTATGACTATTTACATAGCATTTACATTGTGGTAAGTATTATACACATGTGGGAGGAAGTGTACAGGCATATAAGTTATATGCAAATATGCCATTTTATATAGGATTCAAACATCCATGGATTTTGGTATCCTCAAGGAGTCCTGGAACCAGTCCCCCCAGAGATACTGAGTAATGACTGTTTGAATCATGAAGCTAGATGTATGCATTGTAAATTGTTGTATAACTGAATTATATAATTAAATATAGAAAATTTATTTTTTAGAGTATTTCTAAACAAGTATTTTCCCTAGACTCAGATTATCTATTGAATTTTTGGTTTTATAGACTCATGTAACTAATTTCCAACTATCTTGAACACCATAAACCTTTCTGCAAATGGAAGAGTAATATATAGAGAGAATTAGGTCTGTAGATAAATGGTAATCTATAACTTTGAAGAGTTTTATCTTAGTGGGAAAGGTCAATTTCGGTCTTTTAAAAATATAAATTTTTGGCATGTTTTTTAACAACTTTATTTTTCTTTCTTTTTTATGCATTTAAAAAATACATTGGATAAAAGCAAACTGTTGAGCCAAGTGTCAGCATTTATGATAGAGCCTATAATAAACAATGATGATGGCCAAGAAGACATACATTTCTCTAAGAGCTGATGAACAGGAAATCAATTCTATAGCATTAATGACTAAGGCAGACTATAAAACATACAGGAAGAAAGTCGAGAACAGAGCAGAAAGAGCACAATAGTTAGTGTCACAAGGAATCGGTGACAAAACTAGGCCTTAGGCCCAAATCTCTGCATTTTTTTTTTTTTTTGCCTCAGATCAAATGCTGCTGGAGAGTTTACTCCTCTGCTTAAGTTTACTGTTTAAAAATACCACCCAAAACAAACAAACAAACCCTTCTAGGGTGCATGAATATAGTTTATTGGCAGGTTTGAAGAGCATTTTTAATAGCAAAAATGTGTTTACATTATAATAGCTTACAACCATCTTTTCAACCTCTTTTTCAATACAAAATAAACTGACATCATTATTAATCTTTGTATTTTACATTCTCACCTCTATGACATATACAATAAAAAGTCCCTGACACTGTTGTCTGGCTGATTCTTGCAGAAAGATGCACAAGTAAACGAGCTAAGTACAACTTCCATAACCCCCTTGGGTGTAGTTTGTTTAGTCATGAAACAGTAACAGAGAGACCTGATTTTGAAAATTACACAAATGAATCTGTTCTTCTGTTCTCTAGAAATACCTTTTCTCTTGAGTTACAATATATTTATAACTTTATTACAATTTATACAAATCAATAGGCTTTTATTTCCACACCTTCACAATCCCATCTCTAGAAGCAGTTACAATGAAGCCCTGTGTTGTCTGGAATGTGGCAATGTCCGTGATGATGTCATGATGTCCCACAGGCAGAGACTCTGGGCCCCTTCGAGGGGTGTCATCACTCGGTCCTACCTTCTGCTTATTCTGAATTTCCTGTTTGAGGGTTAGAAGTCAAGGAGAAAGCCTAAGTTAAAAGTCCATATCACATCTATGTCTTGTCAGTATTCTTGTTTCTGGGATTTGTTAATATCTCTTGTCAAGTGGTTGTGCTTTCAAAAATACAATGAGCAAAAGAATTAGAGGGTCCAAAATGACATCCTAGGCTTCCTCCTTGAATCCATGAGCAGCCACTTATAAATATAGAAACTTATAATTAGGCCAGTATTCTGTGCATATTCTTTTGTCAGTATCAAAAGAAAAATATATAATTGAATGTAACTGAAAGAGGTATAAATGACACATATCAGAGTTCTAGCACTTGTACAGCTCCTTAACATTTGTCATGAAGAAAGCACACTTTCATTTATGAAGCACCTACTCTGGCCCAAGCATTTTCAGGATTATATTCTCATTTGAAATTTATGCCTGAGTCAACACAAGCTTTAGAGTCCCAGTTTCTGTTCATTAGCTGTGTGATTGTGGACAAGATACTTAAGTTCACTGTGCCTTTTTCATTTGTAGTACTTCCTTAAAAATGACTTTAAAGACTGAGAAACATAAAATGCCTCTTGTTCATTTGAACTATCTCATATGTACACTTTATTATCTTAATAAAAGTTTGATTTTAAAAACAAAAAAGCCAAGAATATGTATTTCTTAAATTCAAAGAAATATTGCCATTCTTGGCCAAAGCCATTTATTTTAATCAATTCTATGTCTATGAAAGCCATTTTTGTGTTTATAAAAGTTGAAAGAAACAAAAATAAAGACTAGTGTACCTGGACAACTTCAGTGCCTTCAATTATTTTCTTGTAGTAAGAGACAGTTGGGGAACTAGTACTTCCTGCAACAACATAGGACCTTTCTGGGTAAGCCAAATCCCAAAACCTAAGAAGAAAAAAATAAATGGTGATAATCTCTAAAGGACACTGGGAGGAATTAACAATCAATGCATTGTTTATCTTCTTTTGTATTTGGAAAAGATATTTTTCTAGAACTAATAGCATAACATTAGTTACAAATATTAACAGCTATCTTTATAAGATGATTTTAAACATTACAGTGCCACCAATATCTATAAAACCTTGAATAAACCAAAGTATTACACATTAAGTATTCTTTATTAGATACTATACCTTATTTTCATGTCTGATCCAGCTGTTAACAGGATAGGATTTCCATCCGCAGGACTGCAGTAGATACCATGGACACTGTGAGGAGAAGGCTTAAAAGAAATTGTCAAATAAAAGGCATCAGTGTATGCCATAAATGATGGTACCATTTCTAGAGGCAAGTTAACAGTAGCTTTATAAGCACCTATTTACCTGAAGAAATGAGACACCAGTTACATATGCCCTGTCTACTTCCTTCTTTGGGACTTTAAAATACATTTGCTTTGTATCATTCCGAACAGAGGTATAGCCTGTTCAGCTTCCTAAAATTTCCTATTCAGGATTATCTTGACCATGACCCCAACTAAAGGAGAAAAAAAAAATCTTTCCTATCCTTTGCCTCAGTGAAGCACCCTTGGCAAACATGACTATTAAAAACAAAAGTAGCCGGGCGCGGTGGCTCACGCCTGTAATCCTAGCTCTCTGGAGGCCGAGGCGGGCGATTGCTAAAGGTCAGGAGTTCAAACCGCCTGAGCAAGAGCGAGACCCGTCTCTACTATAAATAGAAAGAAATTAATTGGCCAACTAATATATACAAAAAATTAGCCGGGCATGGTGCGAATGCCTGTAGTCCCAGCTACTTGGGAGGCTGAGGCAGGAGGATCGCTTGAGCCCAGGAGTTTGAGGTTGCTGGAGCTAGGCTGACGCCACGGCACTCACTCTAGCCTGGCAACAAAGCGAGACCCTGTCTCAAAAAAAAAAAACAAAAAAAAACAAAAGTAGATGTAA